GTACTGAGCTCTCAGATCTCTTCTCATGTGGCAAAGACAATGTCCGTGTGTCGAGTGTGAATCTGACCTGTGTCTGAATATGCCTGGGGCCTCTGATCTGTTTTCCTTCTCTGGGTGAGAAGGGCAGTAGGAATGCACATAGGGCTCTGAAGCCTCAGCCAGGCTGTTTAACAAGCAGTGTGTGGGTGAAGAATCTCTCCTCGTCGATTCCTCCAGCAACATGTTCTGCCCGTCCTGCACTGGGCAGGGAAGGGGAGCTAATCTCTAGGTGTGCAAAGGAAACGTGGCCTGTGCATGGTCAGTATAATGGAGGTGGCCAGACAGACAAGAGGATATGAGCAAGGGAAATAAGCAGAAATACACACGCTTCTGTGAGACACTAAATCAGAGCTGCTGTAGTGCCATGCTTTGGAGGTTATCATCACATTCTATTATTTGGAGGTCCAGGAGAAAAGTGTTTTGAATATAGTCTTTGCCTATTTGATGCAAGTCTGGTCTTGAGACTGTTAAGATCTAGAGTCTGATTTTTTTGTTTGTTTTTTGTTTTTTTAAGTAGGCTCCATGCCCAACATGGGACTCAAACCCATGACCCTGAGATCAAGAGTCACATGCTCTACCAACTGACCCAGCCAGTCTGTCTTGACCTACTCATGCATTTCCCAAAATATAGGTTCCTTGATACTGCCGCACCCCTAAAATTGCTCAGCTCTCCCAGCAAACCGGGGGTGGGATGGAGCAGAATGGAGCATGTATCATGGATGAGCTTTGTGCTTTAGTCTCACTCATGTCTCTTGGCTTCCATGTTTCCTGATGTGCATTTCCCAGAGGATGTCTGGGCCCTGGGGGAATGGACAGTTACAATGAAATCGTTTCAGATATATCTATCAAAATAGCAATTGCTGTGCTTGCCAGAATAAAAGAGATTTGCCTCAAGAGGGTAAGGACTCACACACTCTAGGACAACCAGGTTTTAAGTAATAAATAAAGCCGTGAAAATAGGGATGCTCGTGCAAGAATCAGAACCCTGCCCTTGAATTTCATAAGGACTCCCGTTGTACCTGAGGGTTTCCCACTGGTCGTTTTCTGATAATCACCAAAGGCTAGTGGACACAGGAACCACTAGGGCCTTTCTATACTCAATGTGCTCATTTCCTTTATTGGGAAGAATAAGCACGCTGCCTTGCTTTAAGGGTTATGTCGAGTTTAGGTAGCTGACTTCCAAAATTAGATCTGCACTGGAGACTTGATTATTAGAAGAGGCTACAGAAACATTTGCATACATACCTCTTAATCGACTGATTTTAACAAACATCTCCTTAGCTCCTGCTACTTGTCCGCACTATTTGTCATCGGGACCGCAAACGTAATTAAGATTGGCCCCTGCCTATAAGAGGATGGCTACCATGTAAGGAGGGACAAGAATTAAGACTGATCGCCCTTGACAACAGTGCCGGACACGTGGCTGAGGATGGTTTTAGGAAAGAGGTAAGATTTGGTGGACACAGAGAGGAAAGGCAAGGCGGATGTGAGGGGACCCCATGGGTGAGCAAGGACACATCCACCTAAGCGTCAGCAATGTCAAGTTGGAACAGTGGTCCTGGCAGGGAAGAAGCAGGAGAGAATTTCAGCTCAAAGGAGGCCTCCCTCCCCCTGCCAAGGAGTTCGGATTTGAAACCAAAGGCAATCCTGGGATATTTTAAATGTTCTCTTCTAACTCTTGTTGTTGTTCTCGGATCATCTCAGGTCATCCCCACACCTTCCACTACGGTTTGTGTCCATAACTTCAAGAGACCCAGAGACAGGCATATCCAAATCGCTAAACATCTGTGTTTCTCTGCAGTTTTGTGGCCAAGGATGCAAAGCCATAAAGTGGGTTTAGAAGCAGAAACTGTGCTACATTCTACCATCCACGTGACCCAAAGCAGAAAAGCAAACAGTTTCATAGTATCATGAATATCACACAATAGAATAATAACAAAATTGCCCCTGTAATTTTTTGTCTCCATGCTTCATTGTCTTTTGAAGGGTCACATTATTTAAAAGTGGTGAGATTTCTGTGTTTATCAAAAGGAGATGAGAAATAGGAGCCACTCATAAAATACCAAATATCCAGGAGATCTCTCCATCTGGGTGTCCCGTAGGCACCTCAAACTCAGTATGTCCAACACAAACCAGATTTATCTCCCTCATCCCCTAAAAATCTCCTCCTCCCATAGGTCCTGCCCAAGCTAAACTGTCTGAACGCTGGGATTTCCTCACCTGGCCGTCTCTTCCCAGCCCTCAAAAGACAGGATGGGGAAGAGGGTTGACTTTGGAATCAATCCTGCCTGATTTCCAATCCCAGCTGGGCCACTTACAAGCTTGATGACTTTCTAGAAGGACGTGGACTAAATCGTGTCTAGATTTAGGTGATTACATTGTCAGAAGGCCTGGAAACTACATCAAGGATGGGCACCGAAAGTGTAAGCTTTCATCCTTGGAAAGAAACTCTCAGTCTCTCAGTCTTGGAAGGTTGGTTTATGTCAGGGAATTATGTGCATTAATAATCAGATCTTACTGTGCCCTATGAGTGCATGAGTTACAACACAACAACTACAAAGCAGTTTCAGGCAATTTACTGAAAATATATAGGGTCATAACTATAACCACATCCATGCTTCAGATGAGTGTTCTGACTACGTAAACCAAACCCTTCAATGGGGCACAGAAAGTTCTCATTAATAACAATTTTCATCTTTTTTATTGTTTACTGTGTATCCCCAGCACTTAGAATGGTGCCTGACATACAGTAGGTGTCCTGGAAAGTGTGTTGAATGACTGAATAAATTTATTTGTCGCCATCTACTAACAATACTTCTCTCAAGAGAAAACTCGGGTTTAAAGAAGAAACTGAGGTTTCTAAAAACATTATTTGTTTTATGTAAGCCATTTTTACTCACACAGGATAATTTTATAACCACCCTTAACAACAGGTGATGAGCCTATAAATGCAAGATCATTGCATCGTTGGCCTGACACTTGGAATTTTGAAGATCAGTCCATGCCGTCTACCCCAGAAATTCCTGAAGGGCAGGGAGAGTTGCTGATGCCTCTGCACTCCACATTGGCTCTGCCCCTTTCCCTGTCTCCCTGGATTTAGGATCGGACCAGTTAAAATAAGCACATAATACTGAAAGGTCTCTCCTACATCCACCAGCTAAGGAGTGAGGGGGATATGAAAAGTCCCGAGGACTCAGAGTTAAGTTCTCTTTCATTTGTATCTTTCTTAGTGTCTGTGTTTTAATCAAATCGACAGGTCTGAGTGGCACTGATGGCCAAGCTGATTTGGAATATGATGCGTCCAGGAAAGAATAATTTTCCTGGTCTTAAGTAAGAATATCAAGTCGAAGAGAGAAAGGGTTAAATAGCATTTACTGGTAGAATCTGAAATCTCTCTTTTTGGTTGCCCTATTTGCTAGGGAAAAGGAGAAGAAAGGCTCTACCTACTCTCCTTTTCTTTAAGATTTTATTTATTTGACAGAGAGCGAGAGAGGGAACACAAGCAGGGTGAGTGGGAGAGGGAGAAGCAGGCTTCCTGCTGAGCGGGGAGTCCGATGTAGGACTCGATCCCAGGACCCTGGGATCATGACCTGAGCCGAAAGCAGACACTTAACCGACTGAGCCACCCAGGCGCCCCTCTACCTACTTTTCATCATTATCCTGAGAATCTTTAGAAGTAGAGCTTGAAAACCTGAGTCCACAGTGAGATTCTCCTTGAATCAGAACATAAGCCTATTTCCTCAGTGTGTACACATTGAATTATGCCAAACAACTACTTTAATTTTTTTTTAATATGTAGTTGATTCCGTCCAGTAGCCATGGCTCTGACTAGACTAAGGTAATCTGCTGAAGGAGAAGCTGCTTCTGTTGGAATATTTGCCTTAAACCTTAACTTCTCAATCAGAAGTCCAGTGAATGTGAAATCATCTTTGAAGCTGAATTGGCTTGTATGGATAATGATAGATACTCTCCTGACCTATCGAAAGACTTCGGGATCTATTTGCCTTGTGGGTACTTGAAATGTATCTTAGAGAAGACTGGAATTTAATACCACTGGTTCTTTTTTTTTTTTTTTTTTTTAATAGGGAAAGAAACAAATTTCATTAGGCAGTTTATATTATTCTCAACTCTTAGGAAATTTTACCCCCGTACAAATTCCTGACACGTCCTATGTTTTATTAGAGCCATGTAAAATATTAATCTGAAGAAATGATTACTTTTGGGGTGCCTGGGTGGCTCAGATGGTTAAGTGTCTGCCTTCGGCTCAGGTCATGATCCCGGGGTCCTGGGGTCGAGCCCCGCATCAGGCTCCCTGCTCAGCGGGAAGCCTGCTTCTCCCTCTCCCTCTGCCATTCCCTCTGCTTGTGCTTTTCTGTCTATCTCTCTGTCAAATAAATAAGTAAAATCTTCAAAAGAAAAATGATTACTTTTTAAGCTAATGCTATAAGCTATAAAAAGCTCTACAAAAACAGTCAAGGTCACCCATTGTGAATGGGATAAAAGTGAATAGGAAGCAGATTTCAGCCAAACATAAGAAAAAGGGTTCTAATACATAAGCCTGCACATCAGTGGGGCTGAAGCAGGCCAGCTGAGATAGCTCTGAGACTCTCTAAAAGTCCTCCAAAGCGTTCACAGTGCTCCTCTGGGCCTCGTGTCAGGGAGAACAGCCAAACCAGGGGTGGAGATGCGGTGATCTTGTGGAAACAATAACAAGATGCGTCTGTCTGAAACCAACAGCTCATCTGGGAAAACAGGAAGTGTTGAAGAGTTGTATGAAGAAATACGCATCGGGGCACCTGGCTGGCTCAGCATCTGACTCTTGGTCCAAGAGTTGTGAGTTCGAGCCCCAGGTTGGGGATGGAGCCTACTTTAAAAAAAAAAAGAAAAAAGAAATATGCATCAAATTTGGGGGGATTGATGGTATCCTTAACTCTTACACTTGACTTTTCCATGTCTTCCTCTGCAGCCAGTGCTGATTTTCCATATAATCCAGGACAAGGCCAAGCTATAAGAAATGGAGTCAACAGAAACTCGGCTATCATTGGAGGTGGGTGATGTATAGAACACGCTTCCATGTGGCTACTCACCTGTGGAAAGTAATAATTTTCAATAAAATCATAGTTGTAAAAAAAAAAAAGGTCATGTAGATTTTACTTGATTCATTTTGCTATTTAAATATGACTTAAGATTGTAGCATATGGATGTGGAGACACCTGGCTACCTTTTAATGCTGACCTGTCAATACAGGAGGGGGTGTGGAGCTAGCCAGCACCTGACCAGGCAGATAGGACATCGTGCAGGAGCCAGGACATCCTTATCCCACCTCTCTTTTCCATTCCAATTCTCTCCCCTCCCAGATGGCCCAGGATAGCTTACTACAAAAATGGGAAGGACTATGCTGGTCTGGTTTGAATTGTCTTAATAAAACTTATCAGAAAATTAATAAGCCAGAGTATCCAAAACTTTCTAGCCTTCTTTCTCACCATGGACAGCTGCAGAATGATTGAACTCTCCTAACACAGTCCCTCCTATCTGGGTCAATACCGACAGCCCTCTTGCCCACAGCCTTCTTCTCTTCCTGTGCCTTCTATCTTAGTTATAAGGATGTTTCCTGCATGTCTGAGTATAGCTAATATTGTAAACATATCCAGGATTTTAAGCCCAACCAGTCACCTTGGCTTAGCCAGTAGGTTTCTTTTCCACGTGGATACAGTAGATGCCTATAAAACTAGAATACATTCAGAATGCTGCTTCGATCACATTGTCCAAAGTTCTGGTATAATCTTATCAAGGTCCCTATTCTCATTGATCTTTGCTTTTTTAAGATCAACTTTATTGAAGTATAACATGCACGTACTCAAATGGAACGGGTCAACGACTCGTGACAAACACGCACGCCCATAACCACCACCACAGTCAAGATATGGAACATTTCCATCCACAGAAAGCTCTTTGTGCGCCCGCCCCACTCCCAACCAAGGCAACCTCTGATTTGCTTTTTGTGATGTAGATTACTTTCACCTCCTCTTGAATTCCATATAAATGGGATCATATAGTAGGTCGTCTGCGGTGCCTTTTGCTCATCATAGTGTTTTTGAGAACTATCCATTGTTGCATCATCAATAGTCTGTTTTAATTGTCAAGTTGTATTCTATTGAATGAATATCATTTGTTGTATCTACTCCCCTGTGCTATTTGGTTTGTTTCCAGATTGGAGCTATTTTGAATAAAGCTGCTATGAATATTTTTGTTGAAGCCTTATATGAACATAAGTTTTCATTTCTCTTTGGTGATCCCTAGGAGTGCAACTGCTGGGTGTTATAGAAAGTGGATATTAAGCTTTATGCGAAATTGCTATCCAGTTTTCTAAAAATGGTTGAACCACTTTACATTCCCATAATTAATATCTGGGAGGTCAGGTTTGCTCCACAGTCTTATCAACACTTGGTATATTTTCAGTCTTCTCAATTTTAGCCACTCTAGTGGATGAGTAGTGGTACCTCATTGAGGTTTTAGTGGGAATGATCTGATGACTAATCATTTTGAGCATCTTTTCATATGCTTATTGCCGTTTGTAAATCTTTTTGTGAAGTGTCTGTTTAAAACTCTTTCCCCATCTTTTAACTCAACTGTTTGACTTCTTCTTTTGAGTTATAACAGTTTTTTTAATAGTCTAGATAGTTTAAGTCCTTTGTCAGACATCTGTATTGTGAATATTTTCTCCCAGTCTGTGACGTGCCTTTTCATTTTCTTAGTGGTATTTTTTGAAAAGCAAGAGATTTAAATTTTGAAATAGTCCAATTTTTCAAATCTTTTCAGTTTGTGATTTTTTTAATTCTCTCTTTAAAACATGCCTATTCAAGGTTGTGAAGATTTTCTTCTGTGTTTTCTTCTAGAACTTTTATAGCTTTGGTTTCAGTTACCAAGTCTATCATCACTTTGATGGTACATAGTGTGGTATAAAAGTCAAAGCCATTATTTTCCAAATTAATACTAGTTATTCCAAGACCATTTGTTGAAAAGACTATATTTTCCAAATTTAATTTCCTTGGAGCTTTTGCCAAAAATCAATAGACCATATATGTGTATGTCTGCCTTCTGGGTTCTATCCTGTTTTGTTGAAATATATATCTTTCTCTACCCAATACTATGCTTGCTTTATTGTTTTACCTTATATTTATATTAAGCCTTGAGATGGCAACATACATTCTCCAGTTATTTCTTTTTTGTTTTTCAAAATTATGTTGGCTATTCTGGATCCTTTGCATTGCCATATAAAATTTAGAATCAACTTATCAATTTCCACCCAAAAAAAAAAAAAGTTTGCTGTGATTTTCATTGGGATTACATAAGATCTATAAATGGACATCTAAACAATATTGGGTATTTCAGTTCTTAAACATGGTCTATCCACCCATTTATTGACATCTTTAATTTCTCTCAGTAAGGTTTTATGGTCTTGAGTACACAGCCTTGAACAACTGTGTTCAGTTTGTTTTATTATAAATGGTATTATTTTATTACTTTATTACTTTTAATATTTTTCCGAGTATTTCTTGTTAGTGTATAAAGACACAATTGATTTTTGTATATTGACTTTGTATCCTGTGATCTTGCTAAATTTACTGTTAGTTCTAGAAGCTTTTTTTTTTTTTTTACATATTCCTTAGGATTTTCTACATAGATAATCATGTCACCTGAGAATAAAGAAAATTTTTACTTCTTCTCTATCTGCACTTTTTATTTCTTTTTTATTTGTTTTACTGCACTGGCTCTGGGCTTTCAGTACATTGAGAGAGTTGACATTCTTCCATTGTTACATATTTTAGAGAAAATCTGTTTATTCTTTTAGTATTGAGTCAGGTATTAGCTGTAGGTTTCTCACAGATGCCCTTTATCAGGCTGAGAAAGTTTCCTTCTACTAATAGTTTCTGAGACACTTTATAATGAATGGAGGTTGAAGCTTGTCCTGTGCTTTTTCTCCTGTATTTCTTCAATGTGGTAAATTACATCGCTTTATTTCTTTAATGTTAAACCGATCTTGCATTCCTAGAATTAACACCACTTCATCACAATATATTCTTTCCCACACATTGCTGGATTTGATTTGCTAAAATTCTATTGAAGAGGACTATGGCTCTGTAGTTTTGTTTTCTTGTGATGTGTTTGTCTGGTCTTAGTATCAGGATAGTGCTGGGCTTCTAAAACGGGTTGAGCGGTATTTCCTCCTCATCTGTTTAATTGTCTGACAATTACTGAGAGAAGAGCATTGAAACCTCCAAATGTAACTGTGTATTGCTCTAGTTTCCTTTCAGTCCTGTCCATTTCGGTTGCTGTTGTCTTGGAGTTTTGTATTCTGTATGGGGGAGGGTGGTGTTTGGGGGAACCCGGGCGCCTGGGGAAGGTAGTGTGGGAGGGATGAACACATGGTCTGTTTAATCACCGGTGCTTCTCCTGTCTCCATCAGGCGTCATCGCTGTGGTGATTTTCACCATTCTCTGCACCTTGGTCTTCCTCATCCGCTACATGTTCCGCCACAAGGGCACCTACCACACCAACGAAGCAAAGGGAGCGGAGTCAGCAGAGAGCGCCGATGCAGCCATCATGAACAACGACCCCAATTTCACAGAGACCATTGATGAGAGCAAAAAGGAATGGCTCATCTGAGGGGTGGCTATTTGGCTATGGGAGAGGGAGGGGCGAGTTATTAGGGAGGAGGGAAAGGGACAAAAGCACCCTACTTCATACTCTTGAGCACATCCTGAAAATATCAGCACAAGTTGGGGGAGGCAGGCAACAGAAAATTCTGGAGATGGATCGCCACACACACACAAAAAAATACTTTTTAATATTTCTTTATAGCTGAGTTTCCCCTTCTATATCAACTCAAAATAATACAAAAAAAATGCTTTTAGAGTTTAAGAAATGGTTGAAATTTGTAGGTAATGTGTCTTATTTTGTGTGTGTTTAGAGGTGTTCTGAAAACCCATGGTAACAGGGCAAGTTTTCTACATTTTTAAGAGCCCTTAGAATGTGGATATTTTTTCTTGAGAAAAGCTGATGCACATGGCCTCCAGCATTCTCTTCCTTTTGCATATAGTCAGTTTTTAATGGGCTATCGTAGTAACTAGTTCGTATTCATACAGTATTTCTTTTGGTGTCCTGTAAATTGGAAAGGGAAAGGAAGGGCCAAAGAGAACCTATTATTTGCCAGTTTTTGAAGAGCCTTCAATCTGTGCCAATTCTCTGAGAGTTCCCGCCTGAAACAGTTGAAGGAAGAGAGCATATGGGCCCCTGCTGTGTAACAAAAGAACCAACACAACAGAGAGAAGCATTAAGAACCAGGGCAAGTAGTTTTGTATTGGGATTGTTGGTTTTATCTTTCATCAAATTCTGCAAGCTAATACTGTTCCTTGTGTGTAGTCCTAGACCTATTGACTATCTGTGACTGTCAGCTATAATCCAGTGGTGATCAGCTGTTACAAAAGATTTCTCCTCTGCTTTATTTGCAACATGTTAGGTTACATTGTATGTGTGTGGGGTGGGGGGTGGGAACCTCAGTGGGGAATTAGAGCCAGATGTTACGATTTGTTTGCTCTGTTTCTTTTATAGTTGCAGCAAGAGTATGGACACTTTCTAGTGAATGCATAAATTAGGTTGCTCTTCTTAGTTTGCTTTAAATCTCTAGTTTTGAAGCCCCTGTGACAAAATCCTAGCAGACCAGGTCCTCTGAATGGACATACCACAATAAAGCCAATGCTTGCTATCATTATTGCTTTACTCTGAATCATATGGAAAACACTGCCATATTTTACATCATCTACTCCATATACTACTGCTCCATCCTAAATAGACACACTGCCATGATTCAGGGACTTCTTTGGCAGATACATTTGAACCTCAGGTTTATCACAAACCTGATAACTGATTGTTGCTTCTCAGAGAATGGACACACGTAGATAGCCACACTTCAGTCTAATCAGGAATCTTGACCAACTTATTCTAACAAATAACTCCTTGATTTTATTTTTAAATGATAGACTTTGTATGTAAACAAATGGGACAAAGCTCCTTTGGGAGCATCCAAAAAAAAAATTTCATTTATTTATTTGTAAAAATTACACAAAAGTTATGTCTAGAATGACTATGATTTATGATCATTATATTCAGGCTCTTAATAAGTACTTTTAAAAAATTTTTTTAGACTCCAACATTTTGAGGAATTAAAAAGGATCCCTTTTTTCCTTCTCCTCCTGGAATGGGGTAAGATGAGGTTAAAAAGGTATTGTTGCTATTTTTCTGACCGTGTGCCTCAATGAAATGGAAATTCTAGTTTGTTAGGGTTATATATACATATTTTTCAAAATTCTCAGTATGCCTAACTTATTGGAGGAGCTCAGCTTCTTGGGTGATGAAAAATGTTATCTAGAGTTGCCAAGCATGTTGTACACATTCCAGAGGAGATACTGAACCGGTTAATTCCCATTAGAGTCAAGGTAACAGAACCAAAGGGAATTCCCTTTTATAGTTGCTGACCTCAGCCACAATCATGAACACCCTTAACTGAAAAAGGTCTTGATCATCATTCCATATACATTGTTAAATGAAAAGTATGTGGTATGACTAAACAGCTGAACAATATAACTTTTACAAATGACATATTCAAAACCAAGGCTATTTATTTAACCAAGATGACTACCAAGAAGGGTTCTTTCATGTATGGTCAAATTACAGAAGCAAATTTTAAACATTATGCTTAGTAGGAATGTTTCTGATTTTTCAAACCTATTTTATAGGTTATTACTTTTACACTTAACCAATAATGCCAGATGGAAATTGAGTACTTCGTGCATTTCCCATGATAGCTTTAATCTTTACGCATTGTCTCTGCACTTTCCCTTTCTTCCCAAAGTGATTAAGGGGTCAAAACAATCAAAAACAACCCCTGACACTAAAATGTTCTCACGCTTTCTCTTCACTCTCTTCTTCCCATTTTCCTGCCACAAAAGGTGAAAAATAAAAACCAACACTTCTCTCACCAAATTTGCAAACCCAGGGCACTGGAATGACTAGAGGGATCAGTGGGTCTCCCATGTCACCATCTTTAAGACATACATATGACACAGTCTTTCCCTTTTGGGGGGTAACAGTCTGGCCAGCAGACAAGACACCAAAAGGTGGATAAGGTATTAAGTAACTCAGTTAAGTGCCAAGTGAGTGCTGGAAATCCTCGGCTTCTCTTTGGAATTGTGGTCTTCACCAAAAGTCCTAAGTGTCTCTGTGAAGGCCATATCCAGTACATTCTAAATGGTAAATAATTTATGTGAAATAGGGAAGCATCTCTTTTTTCCAGCTCCCTCCCTTGAAAGCTCAGCACAGTGCAGCCTGGACAGCCATGACATTGTGACCCAGGCTCAGTGCCTGATCTTGCTTTGTCAATCATATCCCGCACGGTCTTGACCTCTTCTATCCCAGGACATGATCAACCAAGTCCAAAGAGGCTGGTGGTAGCCTTTTTATATAATAAGAACAGACTAAACAAAAACCAAAAAAGAAAAATTTTTAGAAACAGGAGGCTGCTGTGAAGTTTCAGGAGAAGCTGATGGCTGATTGAGGGCGATTTGTGCAGGGAACATCCTCTGTGTATAAAGCAAGCATCTGTGTTTTGAGAAGGTAGGAGCAGGACTTTGAAAGCAAGATCGATGCCGTTCTCAGCTCTCAAAATAACGTATTCCCTAGACCCCAAGGAAACTAGCTCAGGAGGTGAGAAGTTATATTGTCAAGTTCTTCTCTGAACCTTCTTAATTCAGAAGGCTATGTTTCCCCTTGTGACTTTCAACCAACTGCTCGAAAAAAGAGAGAGAGGAAGACTTGTTCTGTGGAAGTTTTTAATAAGAAGCTAGAAACAAGGGTTTGGAGTGCCTTTGTTGGACAATTTCCCATTGCCCTGCGTTTGCTACACAAGCATCCTTCACTGACAGGAGCAGGGATTCAGAGGCACAGGAAAAAGAATTTGCATGAGCCAAAGAGGAGATCTTAGGTTATTGCTGAAGGTCTGTGGAGCAGCCCCCAGATGCCAGCAGAAAGCTGGGCACCAAGACAAACCATAGGAAGCAGCTACGGACAAAGTAGCTACCGGATATGAAAACGCGGTGTTAGTGTTTGTCCAGAAGAAACTTTTACCTCCTTCTATAACAGGATCTGTTCTTTTCAATCCTCCCACTTGCTCTTTTTCTCCCTTTGTTTCTTTTGTGGTGTAAACATTTTAATGGTCCCTTTGTGCCTCCAAACAATAAGCACCTTGTTTAAACCTCTTATATTGTTTCCTTTTCATCATCCCACCAAGCAGTTACTAAATTGAATTCCAGTTAGCCCGCCAAAATAGGTCCTAAATTACTAGGGGCAGTAGAACCAACTGATCCTGAAACAGAGGAGAAACAAACAGCGTGTCTAGCTGACTTGGGCTAAAACCAATGGGTGCCATGTTTAAAGTGATGTCTTGGTGAGGGTGGACCCTGAGAATCAGCTGTTAGAGTCCTAACCCTTCCTCTCTCCCTGACTTGCTACGTGACCTTGGTCAAGCCACTGAACCTCAGTCGCTCTTTGCCCTGTTTTGAAGATACAACTGTTTTGCCTACTTAATAAGACAAATTGTGAGGTGCCATTGCTTCTTGAGGGCAGCATACTTTGACACCCACATATAAAGGCCCAAGTCGATAGAGCCTACTGAAAGACTTACTTTCTGGCCTGTGGTTCTTAGTCCCACCAAAGAGACAATGTGGCCACATCTGGAAGTGTACAGATTTAGGAGACAGTTGCTGTACAACTGTTCAGTTATTAATCAAGGAGACTGCCCAAGAGCTAACCTGTCAGCCCTCGGAGATGCAACAGCCAAAGGCCAGAGAAATCAGAACTTCGCATGCACAAAGTCTGTGGTTCCCGCCCAGATGTGACAGACAGCTTACGTCTCCGGTGCCACTGGGTCAGCTTGCACATAAGACAACATGAGAAACAAGAATGATTTTTTTCGCGTAGCCTGGTGGCACCGTGCCTACGCTACACATACCCTGCATGATAATGTTGGTGACTCTAGAATAGATTTCTTTCACAGCAGTATTTTCTGATACCAATGGTACATAAAACTCATTGTCAACAAAATAGGGAAACTGGATTAAAAAGTTGATTGTCTCCCGTGGAGCAAAGACCGGCAGAAGGTAGTGAAGATACCTGAGCACACGGGCATTTCATATCCAAGGCGCATTTACAAGTTCACTTTCCAGGTGAGAATGTGCTTTAAGGGCAGGTCTACGCAGATGGTCTGCAACGTTTCCGAGGCTCAGTTTATTTTAAACAGCAACTGCTGGGTTCTAACGTGGCTAGGAAGACATACCCTTAAGTGGGCCAAGATACCGTTCAGATGTTACTGATTCTGAGTTCATTTGGGTTTTTGTTTTGTTTTTTTTTTTCAGTGAGCATGTGACTGCGGAGGTCAGGGTTACAGAAAGCTGGGCTAAGTATTCTTCCTGTAAAGTCGATTAGGATTCCACCCTGTGAAATGACACAAAAGTTCACTCTCTAAAAGCAAGAGCATGTAACATAGAATGACAGAAGGAAACTATGTATGTATGCCTAATATTCTTTGTGAATGTCTTTCATTTAACTGAAACTATATTAGAAACCAGATTGATAAATAAAAACTCCAAAATAGTTTTAATTATCCTAAAAAGTGATCCTTTGTGTTTTGTTCCGCATGATTCTCTTAGAAGCAATTTTCAGCCTTCGGCAGAGAAAGTTCCAAGCACTGAAATATACATCTATTGGGAATATAATCTTCCCCAAAGTTGCAGAGATGCCGTCACTCCTCACAGATGGGTCTTCAGTGGATGTTTTCATTGTTAACCTTCTCTGGTCACCCCCACTCCCCACCACCCCGGTTTTCTTAAAGTCGCATAATGGATATTGGCTTTGTGTTTTGGATTAATTTACACACAGCTTGATAAAATGTGGTTAGAGTTAAGTGATGTCCAGAATACATTCTGAGCCTTGTTTGGAATGAGGGAGTAACACTGGATAATGGACAAATGGACTCAGGCCAGTCAACTAAGACAACAGAGATTTACAACGTGTCCAGAGGCGCACGTCTTTCTAAATGCACTCCACGTGCATAAAGAACCGTGGTCCTAAGTTATTACTCCCACTTGCTGGTCTTCAGTTAACATCGGGAAGCCATTTCCTTTTAATCAGTTCTCAGTGAAGCATGTACACCAAATAAGTGCGAAGTCCAGTTAAAAGCCCAGCCTCTCTGTTCTTTAGCAATTCCCAAGGCCAATCTATAGAAATGACACTCCTGTCTTCCAGAAAGTTATGCCACGAGGTTCTTGGTAATGATCTTGCTTTACGACTGTGACCCAACAGGGGGAGGGAAATGTCATCAAGTCCCTTGAGTAAAGAAAGCCAGCACTTATGAAAGTTCACAACAAATTTTAAAAGGGTGAGCAGGCATTTCAGGCCTTGACATCTCCACCAAGAACGTGTGAACCACAGCGTGCTCACCTCCATTCCCGGTGCCGCCTACCGTAAGCCACGTGGACATGGAGATCGGTAATTTCCATGAGCACAGTGACTTCATTTGGCACAAGGCAGGATCTGTTCAATGAATGGGGGATAGAGAAGCAGAGAAGGCCAAAGGGAGAAATGCAGGAGGAGATAGTACTCTCTGTCCATGATGGCATGGCATGATGGGCTTACCAGAACATAGAGAAGAGGAAATAATTGTGTTATCTTTTGAGAAAGGGTTTGTGTGAACCTATGCAGAAAGCTAACTCTTGACAGCAAGTGGTATGAGTAATCATTAGCTCATGCTCACTTGTCCTCGGTCACTCTAAAAACCATGAATTCAATGAAGGCTGAGCTAAATAATCCTTGTACCTGACTGTCCCTCTCTAGCAGCAACCCGTCCCCACCTCCACCAACACTCCCAGCATGCCTACAAAGGACCAGGAAGAGAACACAGCCTTTCTTTTCAGATCACATTTCCATGGTCTTTCCATTCATCTTAATTTATCCACTGGGTGTGTGGTAAGTAAAATCTCTCAGGACAGGGTAAGTAAATGAACATGGATGCCAAGTCTTCACCAAAGGAATGAAAACAACTTTTTTTTTTAAGTCCCCTGACCTAAAGCATGAGAAAGTTATTTCTTCTAAAAAACAGAAATTGACAATTCTGAAATTTCAACTACGATATGACAGACGTGAAAAAGGCCAAGATGATGAAAATACAGAAGTTATTCTGTGTTCACAAATAGAAATTTGGAAGATAAAATTCTTAAGTCTAAGAAGATGAGAGCTGAAATGGGACACAAGGACAAGCTTCTCAGTCATGATTGACACAGAGGGTAACTGTGAGGTTACTCCCTGAGAGCCAGGATCTCAGGACGAGGAACAACCTCTGAAGCTAGGAAGAAGGCACATTTGGGACAAATCAGGGAAAGAATACTTTATAGTGTAGCTAGTAAGAATGATTACAGGCAAAAAAAACAAACAAACAAACAAACAACCCAACAACATATGATTAGCTTCCAAAACTAACTGAGATTATTTCAATAATGACCTCGCCACATCGATTTTAAAGGGAAATCAAGATTCTGGAACCAACTCATCTACTAAATGTTTACGAAGTACCTCCTATGCACTTGGCACTATTCCAGATGCGAAGGATTCACTGGAGAACAAGACAGACATACCTGCTCTCGGGAAATTTAGGTTCTAGTGGGAGGAGAAAGGTAATAAGCCAATAAATAATATGGAACAAAAGAGAACTTCGAGGCCAGGGATTCATTTTCATTTTAATAGGGTGCTGGGACAGCAGGACTTGGTGGCTGCTTCTTACTGGTGGTGAGGAGGGACTTCTCCACAGAGGGACAGTGAAGCTGAGAACGGAAGGGGAAGGGGGCCTCATTCTAGATGAGGGAACAACTGGTGCAAAGTCACTGAGGTCACAGTGAGCTTGGAACTTAGGCCCAGAGAGTCAATGTGTCTGGAAGGAGGGAGGAAGAAGACACCACGCAATATGTGACCATTGGTTCTGACCAAATTTGGAGCAGGAGAGGCTCAAAAACAACAACCTGAAGATTTTTATAGAATGTATCTGTCAAGGTTCTCTAGAGAAACAGCATCAATAGGAGCAAAAGAGAGATTTAGTTAAAAGAATTGGCCTACACTGTTGGTGGGAATGCAAGCTGGTGCAGCCACTCTGGAAAACAGTATGGAGGTTCCTCAAAAAGTTGAAAATAGAGCTACCATATGACCCAG